GAGTGCCCTTGGCACCTTTGCTGAGAATCATTGACCCTGCACAGAGTTTATTTCTGGGCTCTCTAGTCTGTCCTGTTGGTCTGGATGTCTTTTTATGTGCTGGCACCACACTGTCTTGATTACTGTAGGTCATAATGTTTTGAAAGTAAGTGTGGTACCTACAACATTGTTCTTTTTCAAGATTATTTTGGCTCTTCGGGGTCCCTTGAGATTCCGTGTGAATGATAAGGATGTATTATTTACATATCTAAAAAAAAAATAAAAACAAAGCCACTGGGATTTTGGTAGATTGCATCAACTCTGTGACCCACCTTGGATGGTACTGACATCTTAAGTTTTCCAATCCATGAACACACAGTGTCTTTCCATTTATTTGTCTTTAATTTCACTAATCATTTACGGTTTTCAATAGACATGTCTTTTGCCTCCTTAAATTTATTCCTAAGTAATGTATGGAACTGTTTTCTTAATTCTCCAGACTGTTCATTGTTAGTGTGTAGAAACCTGATTTTTGTGTGTTGACTCTGCCCTTTCATTTGTTCCAGCTGTGGGTGAGTGGCTCACCTCCAGGGCTTCCGTAAATCAGGTCATGTTGTCTGTGAGCAGAAATAATTGTACTTCCTTTTCAGTTTGGATGCCTTTTCTTTCTTTTTCTTGACTAGCTGAACTGGCTAGGACTTTCAGTGTTTTGTTTTATAATTTCTATCCCTGCTGATATTCGGTTTTAGAAAATCATTCTCCTAGATTTTGTTTAATCGTCTGCCCATGTTCTCATTTAGCTCACTGAGTGTATTTAAGACAATTGTTTTAAATTCTTTCTCAAGGCAGAGGTCTGTTTTGTTAAGCTTGGTTTCTGATGATTTAGTTTGTGCCTTTGAATGAGCCGTGGTTTGTTTCTGTGTATGTCTTGTGATCTTTTGCTGGGATTTAGGTGTTTGAAACAGCACCTCTCCCAGTCTAAGGACTAAGGGGCTTCACACAGGGGCCCCTCACCCGTCAACCCCACTGAAAGGCCCTCATCTGAGCGAGCGGCTGCCCCTGGGGCTGCATGTGCTTTCAATCCCGGGGCAAAATGCAAATAACTCCAAGTAGTTCCCATGGGTTCAGCTGCTGCTAATGTTTGTATTTATGTTGAGAGTCTCATTCCTGCTTGTTCTCAGAATGAGTTTCTGTTGTCTTCCTCTGCCTGTACTCTATCCCGACACACCCACAGGCCTGCAGACCACCTGCAACACAGACACGCACCCACTTGTGTCTTTAGCAGCCTTCCACCTGCTTCCACGTCATGCCCTCATTCCCATCCCTGCCCGGGGACAGCAGGGCTGACCTCTCCGCCTGCCCTTGAGGGCGGCTTTTTCTTCATGTGTTCGCTTGGCTGGTGCAGCTTCTTACCTAGTCGCTTGAGCTCCCACAAAGCTTTTTGGTTTATTGGGTGTTTCTGTGGGGAAACAAGGGCCTGGAGTTTCTTACTCAGCTGTCTTGCTGCTATCGCCTTTAGATCACTGCTATGAAATTAGTGTTATAAAGAAAGTGAAATCCAAACAGAGCAGACTGGCATCACCTGGAAAACATCTCTCACCCAGTTCTCACACTCCATGCCCACTGCTAAGGTAAGGCAGACGTGTCAAACTCACTTTCACCGGGGGCCTATCAGCCTCGCGGTTGCCTTCCAAGGGCTGAATGTAACTTTTGGACTGTATAGATGTCACTACTCCTGAACTAGGGGCAAGGAGCTCGGCGCTGCCGCCAGGTAGAAACAAGGTGGAGGCCAGATTCTGCCCGTGGGCTTTGTGTTTGCCGCCGTGTGCTAAGGGTAACTACTTGGAGTTATTTGCATTTTAAATTCACTGAGGGTTACCTCCTTAATTTTAATAAGGTGGAGATACTTTCATTCCTTGATTTACCAACTTTGAATTTCACAAATGATTATACCACAAAAGATGAATTTTGTTATATTAGACTTGTCTTTCCTTCAGAGCAGTTATGGTTAAATTTTTACATTTCCATCATTCTTACAACTTGAAAAGATCAGTTTTAATTTTTTATTTATTTTTTTGAGAGAGAGAGATTTGTTGTTCCACTCATTTATGCAGTCATTGGTTGATTCTTGTATGTGTCCTGACTGGGAATTAAACCTGTAGCCTTGGCCTATCAGGGCAATGCTCTGATCAACTGAACTACCTGGCCAGGGGTGAAGGGTCATTTTTAACATGTGCCTGTGCGGACAGTACCTGATGAACTCCCAGTTTGTGTAGAAATTAGCCCTTACATGCTCCTCTTTTCTGCTACACTATCTTCTGAGTTTTGTCACCTTTTCTAAAATTTACATTGTTCTGTGATTCATTCATACTTTAAACATTGGATTATGTACCTATAATTCACTGTACAACCAAAATGTTATAAGCTCTTAAATAATTGTCACTAAAACTGCCTCTTAAATTGACAATTTTCTATTTTACTAAATTTCATTCAAAAAACACTATTTTATTTGCCTGGCTGACCTTGTTCTAGGAGCTTGGGGTTACTCACTCACTCACAACCATGTCATAGCTTCAGCAGTAACTTCTCCCCCACGTGCCCAGCAGTTTGCCCAGAGTGCTCAGCATTTTCTCATCTTCTCTACCAGTTCCTTTCTGGTTTGGCTTACTGTCTTGCACCCACACCACTAGGTCGAAAGCTCCATGGATAGAGGAATTTTGTTCGCTGCTATATCCCCAGTGGGCACAGTGCTGGGTTAAAAATTTTGGGGTGCAAAGATCTTTCAGCTATTCAATGGTACCCCTTTAACTATGCTTCTTGTAACCGATTTCCTTAAAATCGTCTCATTTGCTCTAATTGAGGTAGATTGCTTTCCAGGTCTGCTTCAGACCTGGTAGATTTCTTTTCATTACACAACTAGTCTCCTTTTTTCTTGCAGTGTATTCTGAAGTGTCTCCAGGTAGCATGTGTGGAAAAGCGACTCCTTGCAAGTCTGATCATCTTCCGCCACCTCACCCGAGTTTGGCTGTAGACAGAATACTAGTTCAAGATAGTATTCTCTCAGAAGTTTGAGAGGAGCGCTCTATAATATCCTAGACCTCACTGTCACTGCTGAGAAACCAGGGAGTCCTCAGGAGGAGACCCCGCCACACCCCCCCGCTGCAGCAGACAGGCCCGTGGGGGGCTCGCAGCACAGAACCAGGTCTGAAGTGAAGGATTCGGTCCAAACATCTGAAAGGCACAGGCACACAAAGGCTGAATATGCTTATAGATGGATGAAATTAAGAATATTAAGAAAAGGGTAAAGCTTTGAAGATGTATCTCATTTGCTACTCCCTTCAAGGAGCAAAAACAACCTAGGAACCCTGTCGGGGCCCCCGAGGCAGGCTGTCAGCGTGGCTCGTGTCTAAGCTACTGAGCACGTGGGATCTAGGGAGCCATCAAAGCGCTTGAGAACTCTGGAGCTTGGATTTACAAGAGAAAAGTGGAGGCTAGAACCAGACTTTATCCTGCCTCTCCTGCTCTGACCTTCCAGTGAGACTGAAATCATCCTGTCTTCCATCAAGGCCGCCACCCTCAGCAACTGCTGTGGGTGGCGGAGGTCCAACATTCGGATCTTCTTAGTCAGGAAGTTACTTTTTCCTAATAAAACTACTGTTTTCCTAGGCATCAAAGGCAGGCCAGACAGACAACTTCTGAGATGATGAGATTAAGAGGATGCGGGTCAAGATGAAAGGGGTTGTATGTATCTGGTAGAAAGCACTTAAAAAACAAAACTGTAGAGTCTTGGAGACATCATGCAAACTAAAAGTTAAGGTGCCCAAAGTTGGATTAACATGAGTCATTTAATAATTTAAGTTCTCTTGCTGGAGCATTCTGGATGGAGACAATAAACTGAAGGTAAAATTCCAATTGTTTTCTTTCCAGTCTGCTAAAAGCCTATTTTAACAAGAGGGTATAATTTCCTTCTTATCTGTATGTTTTGTAGGTTTTTGCATTTTCATGTTTTAGCAAATTTCAGACTGACACTTTTTATAGATTGGTCCTACCTTTTGTGCTTATCTGACAAGCCCTTTCATCCACATTCTAGGCATGTCCTTGGAAACCGTGCCCTGAATCAAGTTCCTAATACGTAAATACGAGTGTCTTCAGGTACTTTCTTTTCTCAGTATTTTATCTTACAAGAAACTTCATCTTAACCCAATTTCCTTTTCAAGTCTTTGGGCCACGAGGTGAGGTCTAAAATTATCAACACTTTTTGAAATGCTCTTTTCCAGTATTTTTCTCTTTTAGAATATTGTGCAGCAATTCTCATGCTACAAGACCTACCTGCCAATCTAACAGGATGTATTTGGTGAGCATGTAGATCTTCTTTCCTCAAAAACCGTGGCCCTGGTGCTGGAGGGGTCTGTGCTGGGGGCTGTCCTGTGCACCGTGGTAGTGAGCAGGCCCCCTGGTTTCTACACCCGCTCCCTCTTCAAGCTGTGAGGGTCAGCAGTCTCTCTAGACACTGCCAAATGCTCCCCAGGGACAGAACTGCCCCTGATGGGGAACCACTGTCCTGAACTCTTTCAGGGACGAACGTGAACCTGTCCAAACCTTCTGTGACGACAGAAACGTGCCACAGCTGCCTGATGTGGGAGCCAGTAGCTCCATGAGGCTATTAGACACTTGAAATGTGGACAGTATGGCTAAGAATTCTTAACTTTGTCCTCACAATATATGTAGGAATTAAAGTGCTCAGCATGGAAAACTGAATAGGTATCTGACCGAATTCTTTCCTTTGTTAAACTCGTCTATGACATTGCTAGACAATGAAAATCTGGAGAAAAGGGATGTTTCAATAACAAGCCCTATTTCCAAACATTTAAGGCTCATTTTGACTAGGCATATGTTAATAAGGTAAAGATCGCAAGTTTAGAAATTTAAATTGTCTTTAAAAGAGAAAAATGATACATTATAAGAATGCTAAAAAAGTACTCTACATAATTCCTTGAAAGAAAAGGAAAGCCAAACCAGGATTGAAAGAAAACATTTATTGAATCAATACTTTCTTTTTAATATCTACAAGCCAACACTGAACTTTATTCAAGAATGAACACAATGTACAAAAAAAAAGTATGCTTATATTATAAAAATATGTCAATTTATCTTTCCGGTGCTGAGCAGGTCATTTTAAACAACATCAAGGCAAACTTGCTCTGTAATGAAGCTGCTATAATTTAACAAAATGAAAGCTAATATACTCTCGTATCTTTAAAGGCCCACGGATGACGCAGCACTGGAGACACTGATGGAGGGCCAGAGTCGCCGTTTCCAGGCTCCGTGTGCTGACACCTGTCGTGCCAGGAGCACCTGTGGCCAGAATGCAGGTCACTGATAACTGGCTCCGTGTCATTAGGCAAACCTTCATTCCACTTCCCTTGTCTAACAGTTGTTAGCATCTACTTCAGTACAGTATTAACAGTCTATCTTGTATCCTATTTCTTTAATTAGCTTCATTTTAAGACGAGAGGCATTGCCATGGGAATCACACAACTACCCCAGACTCTCAACCCCACCTGTGCGTGTGGAAAAGCCGCCCCCTCCACACTCGCACACCATCAAGCCCTCCTGAAAGATCTGTGTCCAAGGTTAATATCTTAGAATTTTTGGTAATTTTCTTCTTGAATTTACTGGCACCTTCCCTAGCCTGTGCCCTTGCACACAGTGGGGCTGCACAGCGCAGCCTCCGCCTCCGGGTTACCGTGGAGACACGCTCCAGCACAGGCCGAGCGTTTGGTCCTTGGAGAAGCAGAAAAGAGAGCAATTGGAAAATACAAGCAAATCATGGAAGGGACCATGGCTCCCTGTGTGGTTGTCCCAGGAGTTGTATGACAAGTATAAAAATTGTACTAATTTTTAAAGTCAAAGTAGACTAAATGGCACCAGTGCTGACAATGTCAAGAAAATCCAGTCCATTGGTTAAAGTGCCGGCCCGGCACGCAGCAGCGTCCGGGCAGGAGGCTGGCCAAGTGGAGTGATAGTGCGAACTTGCTCTCCAGCGGAGTCCAGAGCACAGTACCCACGCAGCGAATTAATGACATTAGAGGAATTGAAGTTTAGAAGTTATTAAGCTGCAAAATGCCTATTTTTGCTACTAAGCATAAATTTTTTTCCTTGACAGATTCTCTCCCTGGGGGAGGCTCACACCTGCAGAAGTGCAAGGACGTGGCGCTGCCCCTGCTGCACGTACTGCACAAGCCGAATTCCCAAGAACGGGGGAGCAATGCTTGCGTGTTTTGGCTCCACAAACGTAGTATTTATTCAGTTACCTTTTCACAAGGACTTGGGACTAAGGGGAAGAAATTTTAAAGGTAATTGAAAGTGATCATTTTTCTAATTCCTTAGCACTGAGTTCAAAGAGGCCCCGTTTGCTTCATGAAATGTTAACCTGACCACATGTAGTCACATGGGGCTGACGTGGACACAGGATTTACATTTTAACAAGAATGCAAACCACTGACTGGTGGAAGAATAAACCAATTCTGGAACCAAAGCAAAGGTTTTTCTCCCCTATTCCACAGTCACCAGAGAGACAGTTCTCAGGGGCAACGACTCCGGTCAGTGGGCTGCACTGTGCTGCCCCCAGTGCCCCAAATATGTGGAGTGTGGGAGGGCCAGCAAACTGCTACCAGGTGCCATGACCCTAACATACACTTGAGACACGTGGGAACAGACTGAGCGCACAGGGAGACAGACCGTCCAGAGCTGCTCGGGACGGACGGGGGCGGGTATCCGGCCGCCCCGGGTCCTCGCCCGCAAAATAAATAGAGTGAACATTTACAACAGAAGGCAGGCCGCCTTATGAATGCAAGCTCCCCTTTTACTATAATTCTAACTAAATCAAAAAGTCCTTTCTAACAAGCTGCACGTGACCTTTTCGTGTGCATGGGCGTGACCTGGCTCACCTTCGTCTATGCAGCGTCCCCAGCCCGGGGGCTCCCGCACGCAGCCACCTCCGAGAGCATGCAGACGTCAGCTCTGCCGGAGTTCCAGATGAACAAAAATGACCCCTGTGCTTGTGGGTCTCATACCATCCAAAATATACATAAAGGTGACAAATTACAGCTAATACAGCTAATAGCAGGTCCTTGCTTACCCATAAAATCATAAGGCAGGTGGAAAGAGATATTTAAAATGAAAAAAATGCAGAATAGTGGAGCATTCACACAAAGATCATGCTAAGGTCAGACCCATGTTGATAAAAATTGAAATTGAAGCCATGATGTAAAGAACTGTCCGTGAGTCCACGGGCGCGCGGCCACCGAGGGGGAGGCGGGGGACACTGGCGGCGGCCGCTCCGGCGGAGCCGTGACGTCTCGCTGGAGGAATCACAACAGGAGGGACACGACACCATCACACTTCTTTTGTATTTGAAAAGAAAAGCAATCACGACAAAAAAAGAATTTAAAAAAAATGGAAAAAGGAAACAAATTCACAATGACCTACAAAACCAAAAGAAGAATCCACATTATTTTATACTTTAACAGTTCATACTTTTTACAAGTTGATTATTTTATCAACAGCAGGGTATTAAATATAAAATTACTACACATATACCAACACTCAAAAGACGTAAAAATGGAAACTTGTCCCCGGAATCTCAGTCCAAGCCTCCCCAACCAGGTGTCTCAATGTGTTTCAAGTTCTTCGTAAGGAGCCTGAAACTAACGCTCAGCCTGCAGAAGGGCCTGTGACCATCACCTGAAACGTTTAGCCAAGTAAAAATGCTTATGAGAACAAAATCCAGTTGACCCTTGAAAAAAATTGGGGTTGGGGCACAGTGAAAAATCTGCGTTTGACCCTTGAAAAAAATTGGGGTTGGGGCACAGTGAAAAATCTGTGTTTAACTTCTGACTCCCTCAAAACTTAGCGCTAAGGCTTCTGGTCAGCAGTTAACAGGCAACTGACCTGTAGCTGGTGTATGTATGTATCATTACAGACTGTATTCTTACAGTAAAGTTAGCCAGGGAAAAGAAATTTGTTATTAAGGAAGACACATGTACAGTATTTACAGAAACACATCCATGTACAAGTGGACCTGTGCAGTCCAAACCCACATTCAAGGGTCAGTGGCACCTCTCCCCATCGAGGCTCAACAACGGCGGCCTGTCGTGGGCTGGCCGCTGGCCGCGCCTGGCCCAAGATACTCACTGGAGGGGGCTATCCCGCCTTCGTGTCCACCAGCTGCATCTGCACGCCGGCAGCCATGCCGCCCCCGTAGCCCCCCTTGGACTGCATCTGGTTCTGAATGGAGCTGACCTGAAACGAGACAAAGTCAGGAATTAAAGGCCAGTGCAATTAGCCAATTCTTGTCTCCGTATTTTGGCTACATTTTTAAGAAGGGTACTTTTTTATAGGAAAATAACCTATAAAAGTATTTTAAAGACATAAAATTTTAGAATAAAAGACTTAGAAAGTATGACAGCAAATACCGAAGCTAGTAATTAAAATGTTTTGCCACACTCCCCCACTTTCTGCTTCCCAAATATAAAAATCATGTTGGTGATCCAGAAGGCCCTTGGTAACTTTTCAAAATAAGTCAGAAGTATACAAATCAAATCAACTTTTATCTTAATTTACATACTCCTCACATAAATGGTCACCTCAGTTACTTACAAAAATAAAAATGTATAAAGTTGGACCAGCCGAAGATAAATTTTAGAAGTCCATGCAGTAACATTTACACACTTGAATACTTGACACAGTCTCAATACGGTCTGACAAACTAAGGGCATCTAAGAATCTGGAGACTTGGGCTCTGGTCTGGGTTTACACGGCTGGGGCTCTGGGTGAACTCTGCCCTCCCTGAGTACAGGTGTCTGGTCGGTAAAATGGTTAACATGCTCATCTCGCCGCACTATGTTACTGGGCTGTGTTCTGACAGATTAAGAGATACATCAACACTGGGACACTTTCTTTGCTGAAACCAAGGCTCAAAGCTGTCTGCAGACTGTGGCAGGCTCTCAGTGCGGCCTCGTCCCCTCGCTGCACCCGTGTAGAGCGACGAGGACTGCAGCGCAGTGCAGAGTCGGCGCACCTCTGCCAGTCGCCTTTCACAGACGTCGCAGGTCTATGTAGAAACAATCTTGACATTTTTACATGATGCCATGTACATTTTTTCCCTCCAAAAGTGAGTTCAATTTCAAACGGAAGCATGTGGGTTGAATGTATTAGGGTGACTGTGGACATACAGTATTCAAACACACTCTAGGGCTCTATTGTAAAAAGAGTCACAGAACTCTTTCCAGCAATAAGTGAGTACAAAAGGCAGCCTTGGGAACAACTTTGTATTCGGGGGGAGAAACTGCAAGTCATCCGACCGTCCGGTGACCTGTGTGGCTGCTTCACAGGCATCCACAGCCTGGTTCTCAGTCTAGCTGCTCAGTTCTTAAATATTTCCTTGCATAAACAGCATGTCTGTGGTTTTGTCTTATTTGCACTATTACTGCACAGGAGAAGAGAATTTTCTCACCCAATCAGCCTTCTTCAGGTTAGAACTATCAATGAGAGTTTAAGAGACAGACTTCACAATACCCAGCCTAAACGAGCTCTCCAAGCGGGAGTCAGGGGGGCGGGTGCTACATGTGGCCTCAGAGGCAGCAACCAACTAGTAAAACAATATAAGCAATGACTACAAAAAGTTTTAGTTCTTAACAGCATAAAAATTCCACCTCAGCAGGCAGAAGGTGCTGCGCAGGGACTGCAGGTGCACCCCCCCCACACACACACAGGGCTTGCTGACCCTGCGTCTCCCTCGGCAGGACAGGGTGCCCTGCAAAGGACAGACCGAGTTCCACTGACGGGTGGTGAGCAACAGAGCTCCGCACAGCAGTGGGAGGCGCTCCCTGAACACAGAATGCCAGATGAGAAACTTAAAGGATATTCTGAACTGTACATAAGGTTTTAAAAATAAATACCACGAACTAAACACTTAATTTGTACTATGCAGTTAAGAGAAGTGAGGAAGATGACATCTGTTGATAAGATATTAAAACTGATCGCGTACAGTAAGTTTGAAGTATTTAATAACTACATTAACAAGTCACAGGGTCCCACTTCGTCCTGCCAGCCCACGCTGACCCAGGAAACCCAGCCGCTGCTCTGCTCTTGCACTGCCACCGGACACTTCCTACAGACTTAGAACAAATAAGCTGTTTCCTACAGATGATACAAATGTCATTCCTTTGCTTACCAGTAGCTGAACTGACAAAGTTGTTTGCCTATCCAGGACACTCACCTACCTGTTTTAAAAATCTGTTCTCTGTCAAACCTTTTGTTGATGCTGCCCAGTGAGTATGTACTCCGGATCGTAATTTTGTTTATAAAAGCCTACTGACCTCTGGGTCCCAAATGCCGTAGGGATCATTTAGACATCTGGGTACTTAAGACACAGGGGAAAGAGGCCTCGGTACTCAGTGGCTTGTTCCAGGGCACACCCTCCTTTCCCGATGCTTCCATTGGGCTGCACTCCGTTTTCCTCTTAGGTAAAATTAAGGAATAAAAGACTTCAGCTGATTAAATCTAAAGTCTATTCTAAAATTCACTGGTTATTTCTATAAAAGACAGCCAAGAGGTGTTTTTTACTCTCCTTCTTCCTAGTTTACTGTCAAACCCCTTAAGGTACGTATTCAGGAGAAAGGCACCTATGAAGAGTTTAGTACCAAAAACAGAAACGCTCACATACTTGGCAGATTAGATGGGAGGTCAGTATTTCATTGTTCCCTTTATTCGCTTCGACACTGACGTTATGTACCTACATCCAACGTGGACAGAGTCAGCTAGCATCGCATAACCTGGGACACAGGTTTCATGTCGCTGTGCCCAAGGCCTCGTCCGCACGTCCGCCATACTTACTGAATTCATCCCACTGAACAGGTCTCCCGATCCGACGTGAGCTGTGTGTACAAAGTTGGTTGGCTCTCCGATCATACTTCGGTCAATCCGACGCCGCCGCTTCTGAAACGTGAGAACAGTGTGTTGAGAAAATGATCTTGTTAACAAAACACTGACTCTGGATGAATGACTTTGTTCAATAATAAAATAAATTTTCCCAGGACCCAAAATTACCTGAATCTTGGACTACCACAATTACTTCCTATGATAAAACCCCCAAGAGGATATACACACAAAAAATGACTGAAGCAAAATAATATGTTCTTTAGAACTTAAATGATTCGGTCTAGCTTTGGCCTTCATCATACTAATATAATAACTAAGGTTTTTTTTTTTTTTTTTAAGAAATAAGACAAACGCCCAGTTATCAGTAACCACTATTACTAGGAAAGACACACTGGGACCAGTTTCGTGCCCATTCTGGGGACAGCTGCCCAGGCCGCTGCAGCAGCCCGGCTCTCCAGTCCTCCGGCGCGGGGCTCTGACGGGAGGGGCCCTGGCCTGCAGGCTCAGAGTCTACTAGCAGCTCGCTCAGCCTGTTTACTTTCCCTTTCATCAGCACCCTCCTGAAACTGCAGTTTGCCTCAAAACTAAGGCAAATTATGTATGAACTTGTTGGATTAGGTTGCCTTTCAACATATTTTTTTTGTCTGTATCTCCTGAAATGTTGGTAAGATCCTGCTAAACCCTAAAAACTTATCAAGACAGCCCCAGGTGACAGCTTCCCCGGATTAGCACATGGTTTTCTACAGAGCTGCAAAAGCAAATAGTCACGCGCTAATTTCAGACGCCCGTGCGCATGCTCACTGCCCCGCAGCCTTGCTGCTGCAGAAACCCACAAGGGTGCCGACCAGACTGCACTTTTCCCAAAGCCTTCCCGAGCACTGTGGCCACCTGGCTCAGCCTGAAGCCCTTCCCCAGCGGGTGAGGACATATTTCAAAGAATAAGATCTACTTCCAGGCCACTGGGAGCCTGGTCACCCCTTGCCCTGGGAACACACACGAGCATGACTGCCCATGGAAGAGGCTGCTGGGCTAAGCAGAAGGCTACACTCAGCCCACTCCGTGTTAAGCAATTTGCTCTGGCCACTGAGTGCAGGAAGATGCGGACAGAGGAGAGTCACCATGGTGCACTCCGGCCACCCCCTACCCCACCCTGAACTGTTTGAAAGAATGAATGGATATGATCATGAAGCGATATGCTTGTGAAAGAGGGGTATTGATACACATTCATAAATAACAAACATTCTCAGTACTGAGGATGTTCAAAAGCAGATGCCTAAACTGATTCAAACAGACTGCTCACACTGAAAAGCAAAGGACAGAAAGACTTCAACTTGTATCATAATGATTGTTAGGTAATTAATTTATAAATCTGAAAATAGTTTTAAAGTTGAACTTTACTGAGTCAGAAGTCACACTTTCCCTTTGGTATTGGGAGGTTTCTTCATGCTCTCTAGTCTCACCTTGATTTTAAGGTAAAAGGTAGAAGCTTTCAGCCCTTCCTTCCAGAAGGCTGGATGGAGCACAGCTCTTAAAGCAGGGCAATGGTGCGGCTGGTTTTAAAGGGCTACTCCACGGCAGCTACTGGTAGAAAGCTGGGTGGAAAGGCAGACAGGGGAATTCATTACAATGCTGGTGGAAGGAGACTGGGTTCAACTTCCAGCAGAGATGGGAGGAAGTGGAGAGATCTGAGAGGTGTTCAGTGGATAAAATGAACAGCACTGGCTCACTGGCTGGATTTGGGAATTGAGGGAAACAGGAGAGAGAGGCACAGATTTCAGATCTGAGAAGCATGCTTACAGTTCGCTAGGCTACACAATCCTGGAGGACCAGGCTCTAGGAAGATGCAGACCCAGTTTAAGACACTGAATGTGAGAGATCCGTGAGACATCCAAGTGGAGAGGGCCATCGAGAGGGCCAGCTGGACATACGGAAACAGGGTTCTGAGAGAGGTTAATCTGGGGATAAGAAACCAAGCCACCAGCACGACACGGCTGCGAGTTCAGGAGACTCCCTCGAAGTGCAGAGAGAAACCCATTAAGGTTGGGTGGAGGGAAAAACCATTAAGGGAGGCCAAAAGAAACCCCCCGAGTCCAGAGGAGAATCAGGTGTGTCTTCTTGAGTGTCATGGGGGACAGCAGCAACACAGCTGGAGAGCGCAATCTCAGACTGAGTTGTGTCCGCTGGACTCGGCACACGGGGCGTGAGCACTGCCGCGAGCGCAGCATCTGGGGGGTGGGGGGCAGCAGGAGTGAGGACAGCAGAGGGCTGGGGGGCGTCCGGGGTGCGGACTGGAGAGAGCACACACGGAGCCCGGAGAAAGCCTGGCCTTCTGGGCGGGGAGAAGACAGATGGCAGGAGCTGAGGGGAGAAAAGGAAATGAAGTCAGACTGAATTTTTTCCCTTGAAGATAAGACAGACTTGATGATGCCTAATTTCTGATGAGGCAGATCCATAAGAGAGAAGAGACTGAAGGTAAAGAAAAATAAAGGGTTGTCAGCATTAAAAGGTGACAGAGAAGGTCGAAAGGATGGGATCCAGATGGGCCAAGGTGTTCTGTGAACTTGTTACCACGTTCTTAATGAATGCAAAGCCTCGCCGCTAAGTACAATTAAATATTTTAAAACACAGAAATGTGCTCTTTCCCAGTACACGCAGACAGAGACCAGCACACTTTCTCCGCGTGCTGCTTGGAGAGTGGGAGAGACGAGATTTCACTCGAGGGCAAAGGAGGGGAATTCAGCGTCGCCTCCGCGGAGGAAAACAGGAAGCAGCGCCGCCACTCTGCCCCGCTCCGAGCTGCAGTCAGCAGAGTGGCCCGGCTTTCCTGGAAGCACTTCATTCTTCACAGGGATCGTTATGAAGACTGTCGACATCTGGATAATTCTTGCCACCCTAAAAATATTAACTCTTATTCTGCATAAGGTCAAGAACTAAAGGGACACCAAAAGGAACAGCTGTGTTAGGGTGAAGGGGATCGGGGAAAATGCCGCCTGCCAGGACGCTTCTATGTAACTATTCCCATCACAGTTACAGTCGTCGGTAAAGACAATGAACTAGTAACGTGGAGTAGATGCAAGTAGGAGAGGTGTGAAAAGTGCCACTCTGTGAACATGTCTGTATCCTTGTGCGAACAGATCAATTATAAAAGCACACTTATTTATGGGACAATGGGGACCTTTAACACCTGACTTGAGCCCTGGCTGGCGTAGCTCAGTGGACTGAGCACGGGCTGCAAACCAAAGTGTCGCAGGTTCAATTCCCAGTCAGGGTACATGCCTGGGTTGCAGGCCATGACCCCCAGCAACCCCACATTGATGTTTCTCTCTATCTCCCTCCCTTCCCTCTCTAAAAATAAAGAAATAAAATCTTAAAAAAAAAAACACAAAGAAACCTGACTTGATGTTAGATGATACTAGGAACCATTTTAAACTTACTTTGAGGTATAGTAACAGTACTGCAGTTATCCTTTTCAAAAGTTCTTGCTCAGCAATAAAAATAAGTGAACTATTGATACATACACTACAACATGGATGAATCTCAAAACAATTGTGCTGAGTGAAAGAAACTGCACAAAGAGGTCCACAGCACATAGAATCCCCTTCATAGGAAATGCATACTACTATCCGGGACAGAAAGCACAGCAGTGGTTGCCTGGGGAAGTGGGGAGGGGTGAGGAGGATTACGAAGAGAGCTGAAAACTTTGGGAGTGGGTGGATATGTCCACCATCTCGATTGTGGTGGTTTCATGGACCTATGTCCAAACTCATCAAATTGTGCGCTTTAAATATGTGCCATATGCTGTATGCCAGTGATGCCTCGTTAGAGCTGTTTAAACCCCAGAGATGCACACTGAAATGTTCTGGGGTCAAACGCATGCCCAGATGTGCTTCAAATTCTCCGGGGGAGAGGGGAGAGGGGCACGGCTGGGCCCACCGGTAACCACTGAAGCTGAAGCTGGTGCTGCACACATTCGGGGGCGGGCAGCGGTTCTCTCCACTGTTGGTGCACATTGGGTCACTTTCCTACTAAGAAGTCTCTTAACAGACTTGATTCTGCTAGCCTTACAATTTCACATAAAACTTGTTATTGTGTGCCAGTAAAAATGCTCTCACACACATATAAAAAATAAACATTTAATTTCATTAATTTCATGTCCGATTTCCATCGGAACTAATCTCGTCCTCCTCCTTTCCAATGCTTACAATTCTAAAGTCATTTCCTACCCACTTCCTGTCCTCCTCTCAAAACATTAGAAGATATACTTTAAGCTTTTAAATTTTTTTTTTTTTTTTACTGATTTTAGAGGACAGGGGACAGAGGGAGGAAGGGAAGGAGGACATCGATTTGCCCTCCCATTTACTCATGCATTCGTTGGCTGGTTCTTCCACGTGCCCTGACTGGAGATCAAACCTGCATCCCTGGCGTATCGTCAAACGCTCTAACCAACTGAGCTCCCTCTGCCAGGGCTAGAAGATATACTTCAAGTTTTTTAAAATACATACTGCAGAGCTACCAAATAACATATAGCTAACTACAGTATCAATTTGGTTTATGTATTCATTCATTCACTCACATTACGAATTCCTTCTTCAAAAGCGAAACAACTCAAACACAACAACAAAAATGGCTTTCCTGAACCCCATCGTTGCACAAGGAGAGGAGGCTCCCAAACCAGGATCCCCATGAGCCCGAGGGTCTACTGCTCACACCTACGCTCTCATATAGTGGCTGGGGGGGAGGGCAGGTGGAATGGATGCTGTGGTTACAGTAATGTCATCAAGGCAACTATTATGAAACTTAAAAATTCCCAGGCAAACATTTTAAAAATTTGGAATGTAAAATGCAGATAAAATATCATTCTGTGGTTATTCTTCCAACAGACCCTTCCTTGGTTTTCCACTGGTTTCTCAGTGTCTGTTCAGCTGGCATGCGCTGGTCTTCTCTAGGGCAGCCTAGGTCCCTTTTCTTCCCCTCTCATGTCTTCACTTTATTAACATCGTGAACCCAAGTTCTCCTTTCCGGGCTTTAGACTGTATATTCAACTGCATACCAGACAC